GTTTAGGAGGCTAAGCAGGGAGGGATGACACGGGGTAAAGAAGTGACGTCACGCGCGAAACATGGCCATGAGCACTGTATTTTCTTTCTTGCGAACCTTACTTTCCTGTGATTACGAGCTCCAAGGCGGGCAAGTTGTGGCTTCTGGCGGCATACTTGGTGACTATGTAGCCCACGATGCTCCAATGAGCCAATGGCCGCGAATTCATATATGTGGCTTGGACTTTTGGCTGTGTGACATCATTCGTACAAAAAAAGTGGCTGATCCCCCTAAATAGGAAGCGGTATAACACGAAAGTAAAACGTCTTTTTACCAAGGTAGTTGAGCGTTTACTGCGCATTGTTTCAGCAAACGCAACAAATTGCAAAGTCACGTTGAAAACGGCGGGCAGCTCTAAACTTGCAGCATACAGCTCACGCAGAAGGCACGCACGACATTAGCATACATAGGACCAGCGCGGACTAACAACTGTCACAGCTCGACACTTGAAAAAGCGCTCTGTTCCACAGAAAGAGGCGCGAAACGTGCGCACAAGTATACGCAGGACAAGCGCGAACAACTGTCACAATTTTTTCTGCGTCGTGGTCCAGCAGCGTGCTCCTTTTGTACACACGGCCGCAGCAGCGTGTGAAGTGACCTTCGTCATCTCCCGAATTAAGTGTCCCATAAACGCGCGTGCAGGACAGACCACGCTCCGTGGAAGCGACAGCTTTTAGAGCGCGCCCAACGCGAGCGCGTCCCGCCATATCGTCACTGATAACGAAAACGCACGAATGGTTCGAAGCTCTGAGGAGTGCCAAATGGTGTATGGTGTTTATGAATGACTTGCCGTTAGCACTCTAGCCAACGTACACTCCGTACCGTAGTGGTAAGCGCCGGGAGCTCAAATCGATAGGCTGCTGGTTCGATTACGCGCGACGAATTCTGGCTTCTGGGTTTCTTCTTTTTAATCTGCTAGTATATATTTTTCAACGTCACTTCCGTGACAGAAGCACGTCAGCGGAGGCGTGGTGGACACCGGCATAAAACACTTTCATGCTAAAAAAAGTGGCTTCTAGCTGACCTTAGACTGAATGTTAATTTCCAGGCCGCGTGCTCTCAGGAGTCTCGACCACCGATAGGCGGTTTTGTCTGACCATGCTGAAAAAGTGTTGCAGACACCCCTTACGTCTTGCATTGCCGTCGTTTTACTTTTCTCGTAATGCTTCCACACCAACTCACCCAGGTGGCCGGCATCGCGGCAGACCGCATCGGTCGACGGCCCGTGCTGTGCTTGTGGCTCGTGCTGCTCTTCTTCGCCGGCACCTATGCTTGTGTTCGCCCTCACCGTGCCCGTGTTCGCCGCGCTCCGGTTCCTACTTTCGGCCGGTGCCTCCGGTGTGGTCGTGGCGTCGCACGTGCTTCTGTTCGAGGTGACTGGCGCGCTTTCGCGCCTCTTACTGCGCCGTCGCCATCGCCAGTGGCATTTTGGCCGCGGACGTCTACAGCGAGCTCATCTACGTCTGCATCTCTAACTGGCACCTGGCACAGGTATAGCTCGGCTCACTACCTCTCACATGGCTGAATCGCGCACTCTAAAAATGAATTTGATACACACACTCCTTCCCGCGTGCTCGCGGAGGTACACACACATTTACCCCGATTTGTTCAGTCCGCATTGCTCACAGTGTGGCATCCTTGGCCTCCCTCTTCATATACTATGGGACTGCAGCAAAGAATGATCTCCTGACCACTCCCTCATCCGAGGAGCGAGAAAGTGTACTCCACGATACGAACCTGCAAGGCAGCTCCGCGCCATACCGCGATGAGGAGGTGGCGGCAAGGCACGGGCTGAATACCATTCCTCTGTGAAATGTTTCACTTAAACAAAGTTGCTTCCCACTCTTCTCCCTCAGTCCTGACATATAGGTAGGCGAGGACTACGGCAGCAGGCGACACTGGCTGACGCTGCTGCGTCTGTACCTTATAATGTAAGTGGGGGAGGGGGGGGGCACCATGGCGCAGTGGTGCGTCGGGCGCGTTATTCGAAGGTCACAGCTTCAGATTCTGCTTGTGGCAAGTATATTTCGTCATTTTCTTATTCACATTTAGATTACATTTACTGATAATAACATCCCCTATACTTTCCTGGACATCATCTTCTGTTACTTCTCATTAATATTGTGTTTCTTTAAAGTGGTACGTTTAGCTCTCTATCACGTTCCACGACTCTCCGACGAGAGAATACCTTTCTCATAGGAGAGCTCAGTGTCGTTTAGCGCGTCTCTTTAAAAGAGCGTCTTATACGTGGCAAGGCAGGGCTCACAAAAAAGTTCAAGTACTGTTTTTTATAACAGTGTAGCTTGATTGAATATACTAATCATCGTAACCTGAATAGACGCCCACTGCAAGGTGGTACATGGGCCTCTCGTGAGCCCCAGTCCAGTTCTCGGAGCTGCCACGTTATACCCGAAAAGTATGGTTACCAACCGTCCCGAATTTTGCGGGACTGTGCCTACTTTTCACAGAACGTCACGAGACCGATAGCGTCCCTGTCAGAATACCAATATGCCCTGGATTTGTTTCACACCATCCAGTTATAAAAATTCTGGGATCCTATGCGCGCGCTAAACAACGTACGTTACGCAAACGAGAACGAAGTTTGCACATATCGTAGTCACGGATCAATGTTAAGGTGGCTGCGAAGGGCTTTAGCCACTTTAGCTCAACTTCCTGTGAAGTACAACAGCTTTTACGAGTACATTCTGTAGCAAGAGGAAGTGTGACGAACTGAACGCAGGCAGCTCAGGTACTATATACTTCAAGGGGCGGCAACAATGAAGAATCGGAGACTGTCTGGAAGATACCAGAATAAAGAAAAAAATTTATTTCGCTAGGTTTCTGGGAAAGTGCACTTCACCCCCACCCGCCGTTAGACAAATAACCCTCAATAACCAGCGGTTATCTCGCCGATACACAGCATGCCACTTCTTTTGCTTGATATCGCTTAAACTTGAGTTACAATTCATTCATCTATCGCCAATTCATCGTTGACCAATGCGAATGATTCGGAAACTCGTTGGATAACTGATTGCTCAAGAGGTATCGGTAGATTAGTTTTTGCAGAGTACCGTTGCGATACCATCAAGTCAACACTGTTGGAAATCGATAACTGTTAACTGACCCATCTGGTTATGAACAGACATGAAGACATATATGTCACGTTTGTTCGGAATACGTATGTTCATATCGAATCTATCACGAACCAGACAACGGCGCACACACCCAATCGAAATTACGGAAACCTTCCACACGTCTGCACGCGTTGCTTACGTCGTATTTTATGACATGCATAACCGGACTGCTCACGCAATGATCTCCACTTGTGAACCCGGCTCTCGTACGCTGACCGAAACATCTTGCTTTTATTTGCTTTTATCGTGGTCGGAGTCTTGATTTGTCTTCATTTCAACACTGTTATGGAGCCTGTAGCTGCTCGCATGGTCGCAGGTTGCCTTCATGATTCCCTCGTGCGCCATGATCGTCGCGGTGTACCTGATGGAGGAGTCTCCCTGCTGGCTCGTGGCCGTCTCCGAGATGCGCTACGCCGAGAGCGTTCTCGCGTGGGCGGCCGGCGTCAACAACATCGAGCCGAACATGTTCAGACGCCACCTCTCGCGCCTCAGGATCAAGCTGAACCGGCAGAACGAGCAGCTGGCCATGCAGCAAGAACCGGAAGGCGCCATCGTTTCGGAACACGGGGGGAACGCGTTGGCTCAATCCTGCACGGGTCATTGATTGCGCATACCCAATACAAGGGGAGGAATACTGTTGGTTTTCCGGAGAGTATGCCTTGGTCACGTACTGAAAGCTACATGATGGTATTATGAATGATATAAAGTTGAGGCTGAAGAAGCCGTTCAAGTTATTTCGTTAAATCGTGAACTTCGTGGCGTACACGAAGAAATTCTTGTCCTTCGAAATCTATAATTTCAATGCAGCTGTTTTATCATGCGTCGGACTCGACGCAAGAGAGACAAAGGTCCCGACGAAAATAAAAGGAGTCGTAGCCCAGGTGGAAAATCACGGAACTCTTCATTACAGTGCAGATATTCAACGGAAGCACGCCCCCTGGGGTCAAGAGGAAACCGGTATACCACAGTAGCCTCAGCCGAAAGATACATCACGACATTTTATTTGCCAATAATACACACCTGAACGTGTGTAAAGTAAGCGAGGGCAGCCCGACCAGGAACCCTTTCCATGAGCGGGCGATACATGCACGTTCGATGATCACGTGAAACTATGTTGCCGATTTTTTAGGACAGTGACAACGACTGAAGTTCTTATGTGATCAAGCAGAGCAACAAAGTTTCAAGGAGACAATCACTGTCGTCTGTCGCATAAACAATCCAATAACGACAGCAGCTACCATAATTCTGCGCAAGTAGTAGAGATGACAACAGACCACCACTGACTGCCCTCAGCTCCATTTGACTTGTAAAAGCGCTTCCGGCTGGCGCATGGAACCTGGTCAAAATAAAACATTAGGGTCATAACTAGAGACGCTAGATATATTAACGGGATTGCATTACAGCGCACGCCCCTCAGAGGATGGATGAATAGACACAACAGTTTCCCATCCAGTTATCCATCTGTCCTATGAGAGAAAAGTGGAAATAAATCGTAGTACTTTTGCTCATCTATTTCCAAAGAAACTTCGTTAAATCGGGTTGAGTGCCACGAAAGCTTCGTTAATTCGAGATGATGGCAACAAGGAACTCTATCGATACTTGACGGAGAATCGCTAGCTCTTCGTTATCTCGCGAAATTCGAAAAATCGTGTTTCATCACATTGAGTTACAATTGTGTTAAAATATTTGAAAAACGAAGTAAGAACAAGATGACTTGACTGGTCGATCTTTCTGTGAAGTGGTTGCAGCTATGATGATGTGATTGTCGTCTCCTTTAAACCCTCCTTAGTGCACATTATGCCGCGTATGTACATAACAGTCTAATCAATGCTCGCAGAAGTCCGCGTCTCCGACCTGCTGTCCAAACACAACCTGCGTCGGCGGTCTGCCGTCATATTCGGCTGCTGGTTCCTGGTGTTTGGAGCCTTCGCGCACTTCACCACGACCGACGTCTTGCGCAACAGCGAACGGGCCCGCATCGCACTCGTCTTGTTCCGACTGCCTTGCGTCGTGGCGGACGTCTGCGCCATCACGCGCGCCGGTCGACGCCTGTCCCTCGGCTTTAGCATGCTGGCACTCTCCGTCGTGGCCACCGCCTTGTCCGTGGCGGAGCTGTTCGGCGCCTCGGCGAAGCTCTCCGCCGCTCTCGTCATCTCGGGGCTTCTCACCTTCGACTTGTCCGCCGTCACTGTGTTCGCCTTCTCCGCCGAGCTATATCCGACCGTGCTGCGCGGCACAGCGTTGGGTTGCTGCTACATGAGCTGCCGGCTAGGCGCCTTCGTGGCGCCGTTCGTCAACTTGATCCCGTCTCCGCCGCTAAGGAGCGCTGCGTATGCCGTCTCGGCTGCCATATTGCTGGTGCTGAGCGCAGTGGCATTCGCGCTACCGGAGACGAGGCAGCTGCCACCTTCCAACACAATGCCGGGCATGCTGGCCATGGAGGAGAAATGGCTGCTCGGCTCTCCACTGCGAGTGGCCCGAGGCGGCGGCTAGTGTCGGTGTTCTAGAACGACGTCTGTGGATGGCGGGAAGAAGCAGGGGCGTGGTTCCTCCTTGAGGCAACTACAATAAGCCGGCTAGATTTATATGTGATGCTACAGAGTCCCGATACTATGTTTGGTGTTTGCTGAACTGTATACGCCGCCTTTATTTAAACTGACAGTCTTAAGACATTAGTTACTAACTTTGACAAAACGCCATGGCATCTGCATTGTGCTTTTGTTCAACTCTAGAAGCCACCTTGATTTAAATTTACAGCTGTAAGATACTCACAACTTTGATGGTATCGCGAGTGACGTTATATTATTTTGCTAACTTCTTAACGCCATCTGCAGGACGCGGAAGAGAAGCAAGTGTCTCGCTGTAAGCAAACTACTCGTTTACGTTAATTGTAGATTAGGGTGGTTTTGAGTAAATGGACTTGTACGCGAATTGTGTTCGTCGTCACGCATCCTCGGTCGCAGTCGATAAGCTGGCAGACCACGTGTTTAAGGACTATTTTTTAGAACTTACGAACACGTTAACGCCGTTGAGCTAGTTGACAGCCACGCATAATTAAGAAATCGATCATATTGCTTTGCCTTCAAAGACGCAGTCAAGAACCTGCTGGCTTAGATTCAGCCTTCAAGCCACACGACTACAACGATAGAGGGACTGTTAGCTCAGTTCATTACACTAATGCAAGAGCAAGATATGATCATATGCTGTATTATTGGCAATTATGAATAGTGCGCAATAAAGTAAACCGACATGCATGCAAAGATATCGCCCCTTACGTTTTCTCGCAAATGCGTGTTTAAGTCGCAGAACCCACAGTTGCCCAACCATATGTCCAGACGACCAGTTGCATAGCTGAGCTGCAGCCAAACGCTATATTTATAGCTTACGGGGGTATAGAGATATGAATTAGTGTGCAGAAATAGGAATTAGCTGAGTGCTGTACTCAAAAACTGCCGTTGAAATAATCAGCGTGGTGGGTTTGCACTCTCGTGTGTCGAGGCACTCCTTTCATAGAGTTTCAACAGAGACGAATCAAAGCTTCAAAAAGCTACCGAGGATAAACACCGCCTGCATGTGCAACCGATTGTTAGCTGATTTCCCTAAGTGGATGTGTGCTGTGAATCATGACCATCCGAGAAACATTTCACGCTAGTCTGTGTGTGGAAAAAAATTGCCCGCAGCTTCCCTCGGGGGAACACTGAGGAGGATGCGGAGCATATAATTGGTTAACGGGGTGTTAAAGTGCGACTTACTTGGGTCGATGGCTAAATTGGTTAACGTGGTTGTGAAATGGGGTGTTAAATCGCGACTTACTTGGGTCGATGGCTAAATTGGTTAACGTGGTTGTAGGAGGGGGTGTTAAATGAGTGAACACGTACACACGTATGCGAAAGGACGGCGCTGGTCGAAGGGACGTCGATCATTGTGTTTGTGGATTCGTTGGAATTCATTTCACCGCGACCTTGGACGTCGACGCGCCGTACAAACCAACCGACGAGCGGCAACTGAGCGAGCGAGCGCCGACCTTGAGTATATATACAGCGCGACGGCGCATGCACTGTCAGCTGTTAAATGTTCTCGAAGGAGAAGCGCGCGCGTGGCACAGATGGCGACGGCGCGACGGCGCATGCGCTGTCAGCTGTCGAATGTTCTCGAAGGAGAAGCGCGCGCGGCACAGATGGTGGGCGACGGCGCGACGGCGCATGCGCGCGCGTCAGCTGTCGAATGTTCGAGAAGCGGTGCGGACGGCGCGGACGGCGCACTACAAGGCGCGAGTATAAGATGCTTCCGCATCTAAAAACGATAATGCAGGGGTATTACCGAATAGGACATCCGGTGAGCTACCTCTACAAAAGAGAGGACTAACGCAGATTCTTTTAAAGTAAGTATATTTAGATCTCTCGGGAAGGGACCGCCATGAATCTGATATATTGTGTTGGTTTAAAGAAAAAAACTGCAATATTTCGAAAGAATGCCTTGATCGCAACTGTAAAAAGTGTAAATGTTACTGTATGATTGAATATAGACATCACTCAGAGAATAATAGAAATCATCGCGAACCTATTGGCGGCTTTATCGAAAATCCCACTGTGTGATGAAAAATGAACGAAACGAGAAAAGTTTTGAGGTATACTTAGCAATTTTGTTTTAATCTCGAACGAAACACCTACTTCCACTTGCTGCTGACCTGCAGGTAAACTTTCTGATGTTGTCCTGTTGAAGCCTGGTTGAACTTAAAGCTGATATGACGACAAGCTTTGTGGCGGTATTTCCCATTATTTACCTTTCTGTCAAGAGCCGATGGATTGTAGACTGAAATCGCATGTATTAGTGTGTGTTCGTAAACTGTGATAACCACCATCATTTTATTACGTTGCAATGAACTCGGGGCGTGCCAAGTGTACTAATCACCTACTTGATCGCTCTACTCTTGACTAATGGCTCTTGAGCACTACGGACGAACGACAATGAAATCGGTGGCTAACATGAGCGGAATATTTTCGAATCAAGGTGAGGGATGAGTAGTCGACCGCTCGTCTAGGGCAGATAAATGTTCGAGAGTGTTTAAATTTATACAGCACTAAAGGTAAGAGTACAGTGCTATAATATCAAGAGCGATGAACTAGTGAAAATAATTGCGAAATAAATTTCGAGCGAGTCAATTTGTCAGAAAGAAATTCGTATGTCGCAGCACACTTTCCTACGGCCGTCGCTCGGAGAACGCCTCGAAGGATAGAATGTTGTCCGTATTCAGAGTAATCTGCAAGTCGTGAGTGAAATATCTGAATTATTTTTTCTGTGGCTAGTGTAACAATGGCGAGTAGTTAAGAAATACTGGAAGTGTTCACTAGGTTACACAAAGCCTGGCATAGTGACACAGGTTGATTCGAGTTCGTCGTGGTGCAGCATGGGAATCGTAACACCGACGGTGATTAGACGACGACGACGATGACGACGACGACGACGATGATGATGATGGTTGTGGTGGTGGTGTAGTAGTGTGGCGCGCACACCCATTTAGGTAGATTCGCCAAGAAACAATTTGTAAGGAAAGAGAGAGAGAGAGAGCGCGACTTTATTTACAGAAAGGTAGAGAGGTCGGCCTGAGCTATAGTTTGCTCTGGCCTGCTGCTCTACACTGGGGAAGGGTGACTGGGGAGTGAAAGAGTGATGAATGACGATGGTAAGGTAGAGAGATAATATGTTCTTATTAGGCTGGGTAACTCTACAGACGTGCATCCAGTCCAGCGGCTTCTAAGAAAGCGATGACGGCTCGTATAACCACATGTGTTCTGCTGGCGTCAGGCAGGGGACCTAACACAACCTCATCGGTTAATGGTCGACTAATATTATAAGGAAAAGTGATCATGAAAATGTATGAATACTGAAATATAGAATAGTTAGAATAAATTATACATGCTAATTTAGATACTCGAGATCAAAACCACCGTGATTCATTTTTTTATTGGGGAACCATTGAGGTACGCCTTTGAGAGCTGAACGCATTGCTAGGAATTGGGGACATTTGGACGTGGTACCATCTCTCGGTAGAAGGAACGGCGGCCTGCCGCAGCTGAATTGGAAATGGGTGAAAAAAAATCATACCTTCATGTTTTATGTGGCAGACACCCACTAGTACGTTTTGGGAAAATTGCAGTATCACACTAAAGAGCTTGTGGCTTCCCAGGACAATTGAATGACACCCGTAGAAACACATGAAATCCCATTGTTTTATATTAAACGCATGTGTGGAAAGCTAGGGAGGTTTGTAGTGCGGCGCTGTAACTTTGCCTGACTGCTGTCTCTGCTGTCTAAAACCGGGAGTCATCATCGATAACTAGCTTTTTTAGGGGTGAAGCTCCTTATGGCGTGGGTCTGTTGCTCCTCCGTATGTATGTATGTATGTATGTATGTATGTATGTATGTATGTATGTATGTATGTATGTATGTATGTATGCGCCACAGGGTACGCGCACCCGAAAAACGGGTGCGCGTACGCAAAACGCGTGCCGAGTTGGAGGCGCTCCCTCCGGGCTCCACCAACGTCTGAAAAGCGAACCTCGTGCAAAAGTACGAGGCCAGGCCGCCTACCCTCAACGACGTATGCCTCGCCGACTTCGCCAGCAAGTACCGGCCGGCGAAGGGTGATTGCCGTTACGTGCTCAGGGTACGGCCGGCTGTGATACGCTACCGCTGATACAACCCCGGTAACGATGTGGAGTCGTATATGCGGGAAAATGTCCTTCTATACGTCCCGTTCCGAAGCGAAACGGTTGATGTGTTGGATGGTAATAGGTATGTGTCCATCTACGAGAACAACAAGCAGTTGATCGAGGTAAAACGAAAAGAATACAACCCGGTGGATGACGATGCACTGGTCCAAGAAATGGTGGAGGTCCACTACGCCGAGATGCTGCGGCTCAGGCGAGAGAGAGAGGAGGATGAAGAAAGAACAATGCAAGAAGAAGAATGTAATGAAGATGACGGGTGCGCACGGGTACAAATCCCCGAACGACGAGATGCGGATGCTAGTGTGTACGCGGACGTGCTGCCTAACGAGCGCCTGCTCCGACTGCTCAAGGAGGTCAGTACGCCGTGTGCTGCGGTACGCAAATGGCACGGAATCATGGAACGAGAAGAGTACGTCTCGATGATGCGCAGCACCAACCCCAAGCAGTACGAGTTGCTGCGCGAAATTTTGCACCGTCAGACCACGCCGGGGCAGCCTGCACTGCGGGTCTTCTTCACGGGACCCGCGGGTTGTGGCAAGACCTTCGTACTCAAGCTCGCCATGGACGTGTATAAGCGCTGTGTGGACTGCTGCGGTGCCGTTGGCTGGGAAGACGGCTCCTCCTCATCCGTCCGTTCCGTTTACAACGCGTACGTGATCTGCGCCAGTACGGGAAAGGCCGCCGTTGCTGTGGGTGGAACCACCGTCCACAGTGCCTTCAAACTCGTGCGGGCTGCCCGTGGAAACCGACAGGACGCCCGCC